AATGCTTTATCCTTTTATCCTTTTAAACCACCTGGTGTCGCGCGTGTATTCAGGTACATTATCCCCTTCATGCAAGAGGTAGCTGGCTTCGAATCCGCCTAAAGGCCAAGGTTTGCTCACAATCATCATTTGTGGAGTTGCTCGTTATTAATTTTTTTCCACATTGCTCCTTTGGAGCACCAGAATACTATGTATAACCTGCCTGAGGTGTATCCTTGCCTTAGCTAGAAATGCAACAAGAAGGTAATTTGTGGGGCCAAACCGGCGTCAGATGGCTTCTGTGTCAAATATACGCGTCATATTCGGGATCAGGCTACCTATTTATCCCTATGGTTAAAGTTTGAGAGGGAAGCAAAAAAGCTGTAGTGGGTAGATTAGCTCGCTCCATACTGACTGCCCACTTTGACCGCTCACAACTTGAATACTGATACTACCTAATAATTAAGAATAATATTTTAAATTTCGGTTTAACATCTCAATCAAGACAATAGTAAAGACGGGTTAGTTTGATTCAAGATGTTTTCATATCAAACATAATAGTTTCATTGCTTGAAAGGCCCACGCAGTAGTTCCAGTGTCCATATGTCCGCTTGACGAACCACACTGCTTGCGGGGCCAGGGTCAACCGTTACGTTGGACCGATATTGGAGCGACGTTGGACCGATGTTCACCGCTCTCCGCGCCGGCATTCACTCTCGCCACCCGCGAGCCGTCTGTGTCTCCGTGCGTACGTTCACTCTCGGCATTACTCTCGTCGTCGCGTTGGACTTTGTCCAACGGACGGTTGACCCTGGTAAGTGGCGTGTTTGAAATCAGGCGCGTCAACTGTACGAACGAAATAAATAAATAAATAAATACTTGCGAGCATTATTTCTGAACTTGTCGATTTATTCAGTTCTCCGTTCAAAGTATGGTAACTTGGAAATTTTCCGGGCAAGGTGCTCGTCAGAAATAAGCAGAGGGAATACCGGTAACGTCATAATTCCGTGGCTTTGATTCGTCGAATCCTGCCACACCTTACGACTTCTTTCTTTGTTTACCTTTGGATTCCAAAGCATCAAAAACTGACTTCGTGTAGTGTTATGTAAACATTCCATTCGCAGGTCTTCCATTCCTGTTCTGCTGTCCAGCTGCGATTCCGGGGATTAACGATTACTTCTTCCCACCTGGCTTCCCGTTACAGCAAAGAGCCCGCGGCGCCTGGCATTAGCCCAGCGCTGCCGCAGGGTCCGCTGTTCTTGCTTTCATTGCCTTATAGATTGTTTGTTACTTCCTTCGCTTTATGTTCGGATAATACAGTTCTGATTTTTTGGGCGCACCAAGAGTGCGCTTTAAATATTAAATAAAATATAATAGGATGAGCGGATAAATTAAATAAACAACTAGACACGAACAAATAAATAAGTATAATTTCAGGGCATCTTCTGCAGTGACCTTTGTTCAGCGAGATCCTTGCGCCAGCTTAACATTCCTAAGGCCCAGTTTTTTATCTTGCCTACTGCTGGACTAACCAGGAAGGTCTTTCAGGGCGTGACAAGCTTTTTGAAAACGGTCTTTTGCATGATATAGGGGCAGATGCGGGAACCACAGAACCATGTTCAATTTTTCCTGAACGGCCCTCTGAATACCAGAAAAGGGGTCCCTAGTTCGATTCCTCGTGGTAACAAATTTTTGCATTTCGAGTTGACGTGCCAAAATTCGCGCAAAATGGAGTTAGAACCAACCAGAACAATCAGAACTCCATTTTGCGCGAATTTTGGAACGTCAACTCGAAATGCAAAAATTTGTCACCAAGAGGAATCGAACTAGGGACCCCTTTTCTGGTATTCAGAGGGCCGTTCAGGAAAAATTAAACATGGTTCTGTGGTCCCCGCATCTGCCCCTATATCATGCAAAAGACCGTTTTCAAAAAGCTCGTCACGCCCTGAAAGACCTTCCTGGTTAGCGTGTCCAACAACTCCGAAGCAAAAAAAAAAAGCTTCATAATACTCAACTTATTGAATGCTTCAATAATAACACAGTCAGTTGATAGTTTTCACAAGAATCCCGAGTTGAGGGCCATACTCACTCTGGGTGTGGTGTGGTTGAATGAATTAGCCTAAAACTCAGCTGATGCATAACTTTCACATGGTGAGCTGCACGAGAACATCGGAACACAACAGATTAAATTCCTTTGGCCCTTCCCCGATCGTTAGGGGCTTACCACATAAGAAACAGTGGTCCTGAGAGGAATGCAGAAGAGAGCATAGTAGATTGAGCGATGACGCAGGTCACGCACAGCGTCAGCTCAGCGGGTGCGGAACTCTTAATCTGTGTGTTCACGATGGTTTCTCGTGCATTTGGCCGCAGTTCACCATGTGAAAGTTATCACAGCTGAGTTTTAGGCTAATTCATTCGACCCACACCCACGACCCAGAGTATGGCCCTCAACTCGGGATTCTTGTGAAAACTATCAACTGACTGTGTTATTATTGAAGCATTCAATAAGTTGAGTATTATGAAGTTTTTTTTTGTTCCGAGTTGTTAGACCCACGTATACTTAGTCCACGGCAATTAGTTCAAGATAAAAAACTGAGGCCTTAGGAATGTTAAGCTGGCGCAAGGATCTCGCTGAACAAAGGTCACTGCAGAAGTTGCCCTGAAACCATACTTATTTATTTGTTCGCCTAGTTATTTATTTATTTATCCGCTCATCTATTTATTTATTTATTTAAACCGCACTCTTGGTGCGCCCAAACAAAATCAGAACTGTATTATCCGAACATAAAGCGAAGGAAGTAACAAACAATCTATAAGGCAATGAAAGCAAGAACAGCGGACCCTGCGGCAGCGCTGGGCTAATGCCAGGCGCCGCGGCTCTTTTGTAACGGGAATGCCATAGAAGTAATCGTTAATCCCCGGAATCGCAGCTGGACAGCAGAACAGGAATGGAAGACCTGCGAATGGAATGTTTACATAACACTACACGAAGTCAGTTTTTGATGCTTTGGAATCCAAAGGTAAACAAAGAAAGAAGTCGTAAGGTGTGGCAGGATTCGACGAATCAAAGCCACGGATTATGACGTTACCGGTATTCCCTCTGCTTATTTCTGACGAGCACCTTGCTCGGAAAATTTTCAAGTTACCATACTTTGAACGGAGAACTGAGTAAATCGACAAGTTCAGAAATAATGCTAACAAATATTTATTTATTTATTTATTTCGTTCGTACAGTTGACGCGCCTGATTTCAAACACGCCACTACCAGGGTCAACCGTCCGTTGGACAAAGTCCAACGCGACGACGAGAGTAATGCCGAGAGTGAACGTACGCACGGAGACACAGACGGCTCGCGGGTGGCGAGAGTGAATGCCGGCGCGGAGAGCGGTGAACATCGGTCCAACGTCGCTCCAATATCGGTCCAACGTAACGGTTGACCCTGGCCACTACGCAAAGCAGTGTGGTTCGTCAAGCGGACATATGGACACTGGAACTACTGCGTGGGCCTTTCAAGCAATGAAACTATTATGTTTGATATGAAAACATCTTGAATCAAACTAACCCGTCTTTACTATTGTCTTGATTGAGATGTTTAACCGAAATTTAATATTATTCTTATTATTATTAGTATTATCAGTATTCAAGTTGTGAGCGGTCAAAGTGGGCAGTCAGTATGGAGCGAGCTAATCTACCCACTACAGCTTTTTTGCTTCCCTCTCAAACTTTAACCATAGGGATAAATAGGTAGCCTGATCCCGAATATGACGCGTATATTTGACACAGAAGCCATCTGACGCCGGTTTGGCCCCACAAATTACCTTCTTGTTGCATTTCTAGCTAAGGCAGGATACACCTCAGGCAGGTTATACATACTATTCTGGTGCTCCAAAGGAGCAATGTGGAAAAAAATTAATAACGAGACTCCCACAAATGCTGATTTGTGAGCAAACCTTGGCCTTAGGCGGGATTCGAACCAGTACCTCTTGCATGCTAGGGGATAGTGCTACCTAATACACTGCCGGGACACCATTTTACCTCAACAAATTTTTGATGGTGTTCTCAGCAGAGATTTACTATTTTTCAAATAAAGATGAAAGTCAAATAACGATCGAAATGAATTAAAATATTACACAAAAATTTATGGCGAGTTTTCAAAACATTTCAAAAGCAAACTGGTAGCTTTTTTCTATCGCAGGGGAAAAATTCAAAATGCCTAACTGTATGCCTCTCAATTGGCAGTTTTTGCAAAAATTTAGATAATGTTCATAAAACGTACGTAAAAGCGCGGTTGGGCTTAAACGCCAATGCGGTTCAATGGAGAAAAGACCGGTTCCACCATTGCTGCTAGTGCCGATCGCTTAATTAGCGCCCCAGGGTGCGCAGGACATTTGGACCATTTGGAACCGGACGCGATTTGGAGCTGTGACCTTGGAGCGACAACAAATTTTCAAATTGAAAAAAAACGTAAAAGCCATGAGAAATTTATTCCACCTTGGGGCATCAGGATATACAGACAAGCGAACAGACAGAGTACAGCTAAGACACTAAGTTCAGCTTACAAAATGACATCGCTTCATGGAGGGTTGGCAGATTGCCAGCAATCTAAGGTAAGGGACGAGCCTGTGGCTCAATGTAGGCAGACTGAGGCTAAATTGGCTTGGAAATCGCTTCAGAAACGATCTTATATGAAAAACAAATGAGGGCAAGAAGCGACAAACATCAATCTCATTTTTATGAAAAATGAAGTTGAAAATGAAAGTCAATTATTGCACAGAACGGTTATTACACTTCAAATACAAAACAATCTTTGCACTGTATTCATGACAGCAGTAACTATCACTCAAGTATTATCACATTTTACAAATATCAGATTAATTTTTGATAATGACCTAGTCAAGAAGTTCACTTCACAAACTACACATTAACTTAGTAGTACTAATTAACAATTAATAATTAAGTTAATTAATAATAATTAAATAATTAAGTTAACAGACTTCAATAGGCAGTGGTTTAAGGTTCATTCAGTGGCGTTGCTTGGCTATGACACGTCGTTGATGACGGATACGTTTGAGTTTCTGCTGCACAATACTCTCTATGATACTTCGTTTTTCCTCTTCAGTTTCAGCGTTTTTCAAGCCGAAATACCTGGAAAGTAGATCGTCAAAATCGAAGAAATAGTGAATATCGAACTAGTTAGAAACTACTTTTAGGCGCTATTGCAAGAGACGGAGGCATCTATGCATTTTGAACCGCGTAAAATATAGTCTTTTTGTTGAAAAGAAGACCAAGCCCTAAAGGCAAAGTTCGGGCTCAGACCCACTTAATAAGCCCTTATAGTGGCTAGAAGTGCGTGGGACGCAACTGCAGCGCGCCACTTCCCGCATCGAAATGCGTCACTAAGACGCTAGGCGCCAAGGACTTTGACACGCTCCACCTGTTGCGACACGCTCCGCCCACCGCTCGATATCTTGTCTGCGTCGCAATGCTTGATCTGCTATGCTCTCTCTACTCGGACTTCTCTACCGCTCTCCGCGCTCACATTATCTCTCATCTCCCTGCCGGCCTTTTGAACTTCTCCGCAGCGTAGAGCAAAAGGCTCGTATTTCCTGTGTATTTCACGATTTTTTCCTTTTTTCTCCACTGGCGGTCCACTTCCCACCCCTACTTTCACATTTGAGTGAATTACCTCATAATTTAATCCTGAATCTTGCCTTTAAGCGTGGGAGCAAATAATCAAGCGTGTGCGAGACATTTTCGTTTTCCCCGGATTCTCACCATTCTAGGTGGGAGACGGTCAAGAGTCCCCCGCGACCGCCGCGCCAAAACTAGGTCACCGCGCGCGACGTCGCCGGTGTTTCTGCAATTTGCCGAGTTCAGGACCCCTCTCCAGACGATCGATACAACGCTTTCCTGTTCCCTCTGTGTAGGCCCCATTCCTGCATTTGTTTCAGCTTAGTCCTAGCAACTTGATACGTTTCAAGCTGGATATGGTAGATAGCCGCCGCGTGCGGTGACCTACTTTCGCTTGCGCGGCGACCTCAGGGGGACTCTTGTCTCGCATCCCTTCTAGGCTTAGTTCGAGAGGATGCCCTCGTATATTGCGATAGGGCCCTTTTATGAAAACAATCTAATGTAACTATTGGGCTCAATTGTGCATAGGGTGAATCTCATTCCAGTACACTATTACCTGAATAAGCGTAACACGTAGCGCAGAGGGAGGCTTTATCATTGTTGTTAAGTTGTTTACGTTTTAGTTGAATGGTAAGTTTGAACTCTAACCTGCTCAGTTTGGAAGATTGGAAGCAGTCCTCCACATCTACATCTACAAGCCTTGTACACGACTTAATACCCTCGATATCTGGAACAAGATAAATTACTGTCAGGTGTATGTCAACAGAATCGTCCGGATCTCCGCAATACTGGTCGTGGCCACGATGTCGCAACTGCGGTGGACGAGTTCTGTGTGCGTCATCTGAATTTGAATGTCACAGGGACACCAAGCAGGCCAGTCCCTTTAACAACCAACTTATCCCAATGCGTGGATAATTTCATTCAAGTTTTAATTTTGAGCTCGATGTACTCGGGGGGGGGGGGAGGGCAGTCGCCGCTGCGGCGCATGGCATGTTCGCGACATAGTAGAAAGTCGCACTCCAGTTTTTCATGCATGTCAAGTGACTGCCCTCACCCCCACCCTCTAGATGGCTACAATGCCCTGGCTCACGAATTTCCCCGCTCCGCACTGAGGTATGTGGACACGCGATGCGCCGCGGCGGCGACTGTCCCCCCTGAGCCACAGTGCGCCTTTTTCCTTTCTGCGTTTTTGAAAATATGACAATGAACTTCCAAAACAGACTTGTTCACATTACTTTTTTTGAAAGAGTCAAAACCTTCAAATTGCTGTTCGAAATCGGCATCCCACATAGATTATTGTGGACTGCAACAAATTTACTGCTCCACTCATCAAATTCAAAAATCCCGCGCTCATCAGAGGCTCTCTGCGACGCGACGTCGCGCGAGGGACCACTCCGCGGCGCGACTACCGGGCAGGGTCAACCCTACGTTGGTACAAGTACCAACGGGGGGTCGTAC